CGGATAGTGCTGGCGCCTATTAGAGGTTGGGGGCGTATCACCTAGTATAACCCACCTATAATGCGTTAATCCTTTTAGTGATATAATTCTTAAGCGATAGCTAAAGCCGATATTATTAGCAATCTCGAATTACTCTAATCCCTAGGAACTATTTAATTAGGCTAAGGTCGCGGATCTAAAAGAACTACTATATCTATTATATAAGGCTATTAACATCAAGTTAATATTCCTTTCTATATACTAGTATAATATCGTCCACGTAGAAGAAAACGATTAATTAGTTATTTTTAAAAACGTAATCGTTTTTAGTTAGTTATTTTAGGCCGTACTTACCTAAAACGGAAAAGAGCTATTTGTGCTATAGCTTAGGAGACTAACGTAGGCTATATAACGCTCTGCGTAGGCGTTATATACTATGTGCAGGTAGTCGCGATTGCTTTAAAAAGGCTTCGAGGTTACTATTAGTCTTCGTGCCTTTTACTACTTATAGTAGCTGCTATCCGTGTGGATCCTTAACGTAAATGTCTTCGTTAAAGGTAGTGTTACTAAAGGCGTTAACGGTATTAAGCTAACGGGTTTCTAGGTTAAAATATATAGTAATAGCTACTACCGACCTAAAGGTCCTTCCGCCGAGGGTGGAGGCATAGGCATTAATATGGGTTTAAGGCTATTAATTACCTCGCATATATAACCTAGCCTTAAACTTACTAATATATCCCGACGAGTTAACGTTATACTTAAATACCTATTTAAGGTCTAAGGCACGTTTCCTATCTTAGAGCAGCTTAGCTGCTTTAAAGGTGCCTATTAACCTAAGTGTATCTACCTCTTATACGGCTGCTATAAGCCATTGCAGCTTATAGGGGCTTTTTAGTATCTAAGACTAATTTAACGGTTCCTTAGATATCTCGCGGTATAATATCGGCTTTTTCGGTACCTCGAAGTTATTATTATAGTAGGAGACGTAATCGTCGTATCTAGAAGGAGGTCGACGGTTACGAGTAGGTCTCCCTATAGAGGCAGGCGTTAAAGCTAAAGTAGGCAAACGAGAGGGTAGCCGTTAAGCCGTAATAGCAGTAGTAGTAGTGGAATTAGACTTAGCTACTAAAGATAGGGTTACTCCTTATAGATTAGTGGATTAAGGAGCAGAGGCAGTGGCCTTTTTAAAAATGGATTAATTAGATAATACTAATTCTATTTCGATAGTACTGTCGGTGGCCTCGCCTATAGCCTCCTATAAGATGTAGGAAGAACCGTTAGTACCGTTAGATTCCTCTTAATCGTTACGTTTAACTGCCGCAGCTATAGGTGTTAGAGAATTATTAGGAGGTGGCGAAAAGAGCGTACAAGTAACCCTTAAAGAAGAGGTTATTAAAGGCGGGGGTAATATTAGTGCCGTTACTAAAGAAGAGGGTAAAATAGCAGTTAAAGAGGCTGAATTAAAGGCAGGCATAATAGTAATGCCTGCCATGGCCTTGACCGTTCTACGTGATACCTCTTAGTTAGTAGCCTATTAGTGTTTAGAGGCGTTTTCGATGGTTTTTGCATTAGTGGTGGTTTTTAATTCTTTACTACTACCACTACCGGCCACCACCTCCCTAGATCTTAACGATTAAGGTTGTTATTAACGCTGTTAACGTTACCTTTCCTCTTACACAGCCTTTATCGTGGAGTTCTGCTCCGTTACTATAGGTATACCGAAATCAACGATATTGGTTATAACGCTAAAAGGATTATGAATCTGACCTTATTCTAACGATAGATTAAGCTCTTTAAAGAGCTTTATAGGTATAGGTATAGGCTCCTTCCATCTATTTTTATAAAGAACTAACTCGTTAGAAACGATGTTCCTTGTTCTTAGGATTCTATCTCCTAATTAAGGAACTAAAATCCGAAAAATATTAGTGCTCTTATAGCCGATTAAATAACTGATATACGCTCTCGGCGTAAGCTTCTTGTTTTTACGGCGATCTCGTAGGTAGTTAGCAGTTAACGCGTACGTCGTATAACTATACCTCTTTAGGTGAGTAATTAAGGGTGTTATTCCGTCGGTCGTAAAGCTAACGATACCCTCTTTTTACAGCCACGCGTTTAATGCTCCCTCGGGGGTTTACTAACCTAGATCCTTACGTGGAATCCGGTTATACAGGTATATAGCTACTTTAATAATCTCTGGCTATAAATTCTACTAGAAGCCTAATACCTCTGCTAGTACCCTCGCAATACGGAAGATAATAGCCCTATACTATTCGGTATTAGCGTTCTGTGCGGCTATATATAGAGCTAATCTTTCTAGTAGAATACCACGATCTAAAGCCTAAGTATCTAGCTTCTTCTATAGCCCCCTCTCCCTATCGAGTGTGATTATAGTAATAAGTAGCTTATACTATCTCTATAAGAAGAATTCGAAGTTAGCTATCGTAGATAGTATGTTTTTATACCGTAGTCTTATTCTGGTAAAATAAATTATATATAGGGATCGTGGAAAAGGGTAATAGTATCGTTACCATTACCAGTAGGGTCTATTAAAAATAGATTCACGTTAATCCTCTAAAAAGGCCTTATTAGTCTATAGGTGAGTAGTCGTCGCGATACTATTATTTTTACCTTACTAATAGTATAAGGCTTGTAGTTAACTACTAAGAGTCCACTTCTGGACACTACTCCGCCGGTATAACCTTTATTTGGCTATACTAACGCCTAGGGGTTCGCGTGCTCTAGTCGTTCGTGCTATAAGCAGACGTCGGCCACGTTTATAGGCTTTAATTCCCTTAAGCTATTGAATAGCTCTGCTACTATAATCGTTATAGCGTGCCCTCGATTAGTTTAAGAGTATATTAACTGCTTACATTATTTAACGGTAGGTATGTTTATTGGTCTATTACTAAGATATCCCTGCCGGTCATAAAAACAGCCTTTTAATCCTTCTATAGCCTGTATATGGCTAGCAGCGTTATAGAATATCTATTTCTAAACGCTGTGTTGTTTAGTATAAGGGAATATAGCTAACATTTAGTATCTATAACCTAAAGACGTAGCGTGCCGTACCCTCTTATTAGATTAAAGGTGCCACTACCTATCTAAATTCTAACAATAGTAGTAGTAGGCTAGAAGTTCTTAAGTAGGTAGCGTTAATTAGTTATATACTATAAGGACCCTGAATCAATTAAGAACTATCTACAAAGGTCGCTATTAACCACCTATTTAATCTATAGAAGCGAGAATACCGATAGCGATATGAAAAAGTCATTTAACGCTACCTCTTTACCTATAGAATTAGAAGTAAAATATATATTATAAGAGCTATTATCAGAATCGTCATTCCTATTATTAATAAAATTAGGTACTTCCTTAGGCTAATCCTTGTCTTATAACTTAGTCTTAGACTCTTTTACCTTCTTTTTCGCCTTACTAATATCCTTTTTAATATACTCTGTGAACCTCTTTTATTAGGAAGTATTCTAGCGCTTAATAACGCGGTCGTAGCATTCTATTACCTCCTTTAAGAGCGTAAAGCCCTTTTAGTAGCATGTCCGATTAATATTTGGGTAGCTACTCCACGCAGAGTAGTAGCGTTTAACGTAGTCATAGATCTATTCTCGTGGTATTAAATAATCCATCTTTCCTTATTACTACTAACCTCTTTAATTAGCAGGCTATTATCTACTATCTTGATCCTTTCCTAGGAATATCGCTATATAAAACGATAATGTAATAGGCTTCTTATTAAGTCTATAAGAGTATCTATAGTATAGCTAAACCGTATATTTATGTATAACCTCTTCGATAATAGGTTACTTATCCTTATCTTCCCTTAAAATCTCTATAAAACACGGCTCTAACTAGTCTAGAACTATAGTACTAATAGCCCTGAAAAATGTGTTAAGGTAACTCTATTTAATATTAGAGGATCTAATGCTATAGATCTTCGAATCTCGGTATAGTTTTATAAAGTCCTAAAGCTAGCGCTTATAGGGTATCCGCCGTATATTTTATACATACTCTTTCTATCTCTTCTTAACTAAGGACTTCTAGGTAGCGTTAGTACGTTTAAGATAATCCTTTAAGGCGGTCAGGATATCTTTAACCTCCTTCTTCTCTATATGCTAATCTTTAAGGATAGGATTAACTATCTTCGCGATATAATCGTCAAGAGTAGCTAGGCTATATTATTATTAATAATATTTATTCTCTTTTACCTGCTATAGCTTAAACTTACGATTCTAGGCTTTCTCTTTATCTTCCGTTAACTCTAGAAGTTTAGAGGATATAAGTCTTCGAGGACGTTTAGATTCCTCGAGGTCTTGATTAATATGCTTAGATACCTAGTTAGCATAGGCTATCTATATAATAGCCTTAATCCACTAACACTATTCTTTTAATAAGATAAGAATTATATAGCCTATTATAGACATTACTATAACTAAAGCTATTATCCACCTAACCAGGACTATAGGGAAATATACTATTAAAACCGACTATAAATAACCGATTAAATAAGGAGCGATTAAATAAGATAGGACGAGATAGAATATAGTAATTCAATAACGGAATAACGGTTAAAATAAAGCAGGCGGATATAGCCGATAATACTAAACTACCCGTTATAGACTTAAGGCTATTTTAACTGCCTTAAAGCTATAGAATCTCTCGGAATAGCTTCGTTTTATTCGAACGCCGGGCTTATACCTATTAGTATATAAATAAGATACGTAAAAGATATGTGTATATATTAAAGCAGAATTAGAGCAGAGTAAAAGGTACTCTACGGGAATATCTCACTATAAGGTAAAAGGAGGGGAAATCGATATAGATATATCGGTCGGAAGTACTCTATCGGTGTGGAAAATAGCGCAAGTCACACCCCGGTACGTGTATGGTGGCATCTGACAGCCGCACCCTTGCCTTGCCCCCGTTTGTCCAGCGAGGGGCAAGTTTTTGAACTGGGGGCCTCAACTTTGCGACACGACACTACTTACTCCCTTCCCTACGAAAAGACTCGCTGAATTCCAACAATAGTCTCACTACAAAAGAATAGCAACCATGGGTGGCGCAAACCGTGAAGGTAGTTTTTGATGTTCATTCCACGGCCGCAACGCGCAACTGACAATCGGCTCATAGGTGGCAAGGCCAAGCCTTTGAAGGCCCCGAAGAAGCAGGCCCGCGATCTCGACGAGGAAGACAAAGCCTTCCTCGAGAGGAAGAAAGCCGGTACGCAAAATGACCTTTTTACGAGCATGTTACCCTTAAGGACTGCGAATGCAGACTGACATCCCCTGTCGCCCTATTACAGAGGAGAAAGCGCGTAAGGAACTTGCAGCCAAGGCTGCCGGGAAGGGCCCCCTTACTTCCGGCGGTATCAAGAAGAGCGGCAAGAAATAGAGGTCTTCGGAAGACGGAATACAGCATGCGATGCGACACGCAGTAGAGATGAGATGATGGCATCGACCCGGGCGTCAAGAAAGGCCCAGGGGCGAAAGCGGGCCACGCGAGGCGAGCGTGCTTATTGCGCGGCGCAGGAGTCGGGATTCTCGGGATTCTCAGGCTTAGCAATATGGGACAGCAACAACAACAACAACAACAACAACAACTGATGCCTATGGAATATGATATATCGTTTGGTTAGAAATCACTGGTCGATTTCTATTGATGCGCTGGTGCCCTTTTGTGTACAACTCAAGGACAAACCCAGGACCTATCCTTCGGCCCGTCTCACGTCTCAACACTCAGCAGCCATACCTCCATGGTGATAATCAAACGCTTTGCCCATGCCCACAAAGTGGGTGGCGGCCGCCGCAACGACGAAAAAGTGGAAAATCTGGTGCGAGCTGCCCCAAATGTCGAACCTCCGAGGGAAACTCCTCTCGGGCCAACGCACGGCGTAGATGAATGCGCCGGTCACGTACAGCGCCCCGTGACCGACGACCCAGCTGAGGCTCATGCGACGCTCGAGCGCCTCGCGGCCGTACAACTTCAAGCCGTGCAACACAGGGACGATGCCCGAGAGGCCGAGGCCGACGAACATGGCCGCGCGGAGAGGTCGCCAGGGTGGTGTGCGGAAACGCTCTAGCCATGCGGTCATTCCGCAGCCGAAACCGAGGAGAGTGATCTATGACAAACATGTGTTAGTAAGGAGAAAAAGGTAAGGAGAAAAAGGCGAAGACGGAAAGGACAGAATAAATAAAAAAGAAAGAGAAGAGAGAGAGAGAGAGAATGTGTGTGTGTGTGTGTGTGTGTGTGTGTGAGGCCCGAGGAAAGGAAAGGAACGCACAGTAGACTGATACATAGTCATCAACTCCGGATGGCACCAAAACCCGTAATACAAAGCTGGAACGTAACTCCCAACAATAAGCACCACGATGCCGGCATAGTCGAGCTTATTCCCCCAGCGCGCAACGGCGCGGGAATGGTTGCTGAGAGCATGGTAAGTAGCACTCATGCCAAGACAGGCGACAGCGCCGGCGAAGAAGCAGGCGAAAACCAGCACATCGGCGAGCGAAGCTGTGGCGTAGCGCGGGGCGATCTCATGCTCGAGGAAGACGGCGGCGTAGGCCCCCGCCGCGCCGACGAGGAGGAAGAACAGCGCGCCGAGGAGGTGCGACCAGATATTAACCGTCTCGTTGTGCAGATAGGTCAGGCTGGCGAGGGAGGCGCGATACGACGAGGACGCTCGCCGGTATCCCGTCAGGATGAAGGTGTTGTCGCGCTGCCATGCGGGCAGGTTGTCCCAGGTTAATAAACGGATGTGGTGGCCTTCTTTTACTGCGAGAACTTTGGGTTCCATGTCATCGCCGGTTGGGAGGAGGGTTGTGGTGGTCGAGCCACGGCGGTGACTAAGACCATCGCTTGCGGTTGTGGAGGATGGCATTTCCCTTTATACACCCACGTCTTGATAACTGGTGTTGACTATGAGGATTTGCGTCTGAATATGCGAAAGTGAAGTTGATAAAAGCTGCAGTATCACAGACTTGGGATTCCAAACACGTTCCGATCGTCTTGCGCCTTCCCATTCCGATCACATAGCTGTCACCTCGTCTAGTCGTATTCTCAGCTTCATCACATGTGATTTTGTATTTTTGTTGGGAAAATCCACTCAAGAGTCTGTCCGAGTCGTATTCGTACAAATGGATTTCCGTTGTCCGACCTTGTCCGACCAGAGCGGAATCCCCGGCGGGGCCGAAAACCAACTACGACCAGGCGCAAACAGCTGTGGCCTGGGTGCGAATAAAGTATGTGCCTATCTCAGGCGCCAGTAAGGAATACTATTTTACCAGTAAAACGGTGGGGCCCGCTAAGCATGATAAGCTACCTAAGTACTAACCTATTTTATATATACACTTAAGTACCTAAACATATAGTATAGTCTCTCTTTTCACGTTCGAGTAGGCGTGGGCAATAAGAGCTTCGAAGTCGTGCTTATATAAGGCATAAACCTTAGAGGGTACGCCGGAGCCGTAAGGTCGCTATTATTCTTTAGTAATTATATCGTGGGTTACGTATATCGTGGTTATAGTGTTATGCTTTAATTAACGAGGCGGTGTATAAGAAACTAGTAGATTAATTGAAAAGAGACTGTATCTATGTGTTTGGGTACTTAAGTATACATACAAAATAGGTTGGTACTTGGGTTGTTTACCATGCTTGGCGGGCCCCACCGTTTTACTGGCAAAATAGTCATCTGTACTGGCGCCTGAGATAGGCCCTAAGTTATTTACATACTTTCCACAGCCCTTGTCTGGAATCATGGACTTTGGTATCTGGGGAACGCCAGCTACTTGTCTACACCCTGCATAGCATTCGACAGTTATGTTCGGTGTATCGAGACGTTTATTGTTTTCCCCATCTCTCTGAGTCGTAGGGCAATGCCATTGGTGTTGCAATGCTTTGGGAGATTGAACAGGGCAAGCTTTGGCCGCTCGCAACCTCTTCACAGTCTCCCGACACCTCCTCCAACAGCCAACTCGATTCCCTCTGCTGTCAGGAAGTTGAATTATATCCGAGAATCACCCTGCGCTGATGTTGAATGGGCGGGCTTGCCCACCTCCACCTCAAACCAGCCCCCCGAGACCGATACACAAATTCAAGACTCGGTGTCCTTGAATCCGCCAGACCCGAACCGATTTTCGATAGCTGCCCCTGATAGTCGGGGGGCAGGCACGACTCGGAACCCCATATATCTCCCAAGATTTGCCAAAGCTTGCGAAACTTCTGGATTCGGCTCATCAATCGGGCCAGGTCTGTTAAACAAGCTAGCACCCCGAGAAGATTTACCGTCGTGGGTAGCCCGCCTATATGCGGCCCTACGAATCTACGAAGAAGATGGCGTCCCTGAGCTTTGGATTATGGCGAAGAGGCACCATGGCATATCCTCCTTGAAAAGTCCGGAAGCGGTGCATATTTGGAAGACTGTTCTCGACACTCTTCTCACCCGCGACGCGTCTCTGGAGCCTATATATGACTATGCCCTGTGGCTCCTGGACGCCCACTCCATCCAATTGCCAGACCTGTACTACCGGGTAGTAGCTCATTGCCTTCGTAGTGGCAAATATCATGGGGCTTTCTACTGGCATTTGCGGCTGATGCCCGACTTTGACCCAGGCATCGATTCCTTTGGCTCTCTCCTCCGAGAATTCATAGTTAACTCCGAAGTCAGGTTGCAAAACACACTGATGTCGATGTACACGGCTAGTTTGCACCGTGGTCTGTACGACAGACTTATCCCGTATCTTTTCGAGCGCGGGAAATTGAACTTGTGCTATGACTGGCGCAAGCTACTACTTCGACACCGCGACGTTCCCAAGCCTCTACCAACGGCTCAGCCCTTCTTGCGGTTTTTGGCTTGCTACTTCCCAAACAAGGCGCTCACTTCGGAGGAGAAGGCTGTCATAGGGCTCTCCTTTCCCGCACTGCCCGATCGCGCCGATAGTCCAAACATTTGGGAAACTCTCTCCGTCACCCAGGGTAAGCCCGGACATGACGCAGGCAGACGACTCAACGATGTTCTTGGTGCAAGATGGTTCGCGAGTTCTTGGATACCCCTCGATATTGCAGTCCATGCACTACGCGGGCTTGGTGTACGGAACATCGGACCTTTATCCTTACAATCCATTGCTATTCGCGAAGCAACTCCAGCCGCTGTCACATCACGATTGGAGCAGCTTCGAAACTTGGGCATTGATATTGGACACTCAACGTACGCCAGGGCTGTTCGATACTTCGCACGCTCTGGGAATAGCGAACTCCTAACGCAGTTGCTGCGAAGCGATATTCATCCAGACGTCTTCGACGACCTCAGTACTCAGGGCATGATTTTACGTGGTGGCGGTGGTTCAACAAACTCACGACACACGAGTCGGCTTCTCCTCGCCGTACAGCCTGCGGCCGCTCAGGATTCAATAGAGACCACCTCGAACGATCTTTTATGCCAGCATCTATCCCGTGGACAGTGTCGCCAAGCCATCGGACTCTTGGATGACATGAGGGCGATGGGCCTCAACATCCATCCACAAACGCTACACAGCATACATCAACAGCTTATGCGGTCGTTGGAGTCTGTTGATTTCTCTGCCACTCCCGATCATGGGCAGCAGGTCTCTGACTTGATCGCTCTTGCAAAGAGGGTGGCGTTGCTTCCTGGCTACCTACCTTCTCGGTTTTGGCAGAAGGTCCTGTTCAACTTGGGCAAGTTTGGCCGCCTGGATGAACTGGAACATCTAGCTATGTACCTCGTCGACGATTGCCAGAACCGCATCCTTCGCTACCCAGGGAGGATATCCGTTCACGTGTCTGATTGTCCACACGAGTTTACCTTTGAGGAAGCTCGTGTTGGCATCCCTCCAGACCTACCCATCACCAGTGACTGGCATCCTATCCGGCGAATTTTTCTGGACCACCGGCTCCAGGCTTCCATGGTCCGGTGGGGTTTTCGGAAGGGGCTTACTTCGCCTTACTCTCTCCATCGTCTCGCCACCACAAGAACAGGTCTTCGGCCTTCCGACTTCCACGTTGCGCGTGGAGTAAGGTTCCTCAAAGAGCTAGGGAGTCGTGGCATTCCTCTAGACAGGCCCATCATCCGCAAGGAGGTAGTTCGGTGTATAGCCCGGTACTCCCTATCCGCCAAGGGAACACCTAGAGACGGCCGAGATGATTTGGACCTCAATCAGATGGCCATGCTCTTCAACTTCACCTTTGGTGATTGGCTTCTTCCAAGTGCCATGGAGTTGCGAGACTTGATGGTTAAAGAAACCTGACGATATTTCCTTCGGATCATCTGCTCCATAGAATCACCTACATCGTCTCTGAATATGTTTGTCAAATAATAAAGCTGGCTGAAGATAACTTCCTCCCACGCGCTTCATAGGTAGTTTCGGGACAGGCATTTCTCTCAAAAACGAAGCATTGGAAGGAAGTTCACAGATCAATCATTAGTTCTACAAGTGTGAGGTGCCGTCATGGCAAGGTGTTACTGTAGGAGTCAGGCCTGCTCCTTGCCATTATTATTGCCATTGGCAGGTGCTCCTCTGTTTTCCTTCGGTTTTATCATCAGGAGGATGAACAACCCTACTATAAGAATGAGAAGTAGCAGGATAATCTTCCTCTTGGTTGTTCTTTTCTGATATCCGGCAGCGATGACAAATTCTTTGTCCGCAGCCTTAACATCGTTTGCCATGTTCTCCACGTTGTAGTCTATCCTGTCCAGCATAGTGCCTTGATCAATAACCATGCTCTGCAAATCGCGGAAAATGTCAGCGAGCTCGATGATCCCTCGGGCTATCTCTTCAATCTCGCGTTCTCGTTGTGTTATGATGGTGTCATTGGAGTGATGCTGGTATTTTCGAGTGGACTGCAGCGTCGATTGCGACAAGGATCGATCCTCATCCGATTCAAGCATGTTTGGGTCACTGTAAGCGCCTGAGCTCAAGTGGAGAGCGGACATCCGATCGCCTGGGGAGCTGATTGAGGTAAACCCTCCCATATCGCGCAATTCTACGCGTACTGTCAGCAACCTACTGGCCTTAAGCGCCCAGAAACAGGACCCGATCTTACTCTTCAAATATGTGCTCTGTTTTCTTCTAAAAGAAGCACTTGCGTCTTGCACTCTTGAAGCTAGGGAGATTTGCATGTTCTTTGCCATGGTCGCATCTGCTCTGCTTAGAGAGCCTGCTTCTTTCATTTCTTGTATCATTCGTTCCAACCGCTGTATGCAGCGATTGCAGTCATGGAACCCCTTTGTGATCTGATGTGTCAAGCCCTCGATTTCTCGTTCCTCGTTCTTCTTTGTCGCATCGTCATTGAATCCTGGAAGCACGTGTGTCTGATGAAGTCGCTCTAGCACCTGGCTGCGGCGCGCAATATCAGCCAGCAGTTCCGTGATCTCGTCGGACACATCAGCCCAACGTGGTGGGATCACATCCATCTCGATCACAGCATCGCCCTCACGGTCAAAGGCACCCGCGGAGAGTAGTGCTCGAGTATCCTCAGGCGTATCCGAGGAGGCCAGCCCGTAGCTATCTGCAGATGAAGCGCCTCGCGCCTGAGAGTCCGTGTACTTGGCCCGTTTTACTGGATGGTCGGCGTACGATTGCCGGTAGGATAAATAAAGGTTGGTGCGGTCGCGCCACATGTTGGGCAACGGCATGCGGATGTTGCTGTGGAAAGAGAGGACTTATCCGGGTGGTTAGGATATTTCCATGCGGTACCTTGGAAAGCTGACGTCTCGGAGTTCTCGTCCGATACCTCTGTCAGGTACGACTGCGGCACCGCAATGAAAGGTGTCAGGATGTCAAGGCGGTAGTTGAGTCGATGTCAGATGCCCACAGCCACCTTATCGAGGTGTGACAAACTATAGTATGTTAGACGTGTGGAGTGTCAGATACAGCGTAACCGTAAAGAATAAGGTAGAACAGTAATAGGGCAGTTGATCCGTTGATTTAATTAAGGCTTGTAAATCTGCAGATATATGTGTGTGTAACTATCTAAAATCCCGGACCGTTAGGGAACTCCTACCACCGTAATTTCTATAGTAAAGATTCTGCAGGTATCCACCTCGATTACTAAGGGTATAATTCTTTAGTTAAATCCGTGCCCGTTATATAACCGTTAATCTTATAGCCTATCCGACACACGCCATTAATAGCTATAATAGTAGTTAGGTTATTAACCCTATTTATAGCAGGCTAACGATTTAACTATTCCGTAGCTTCCTTTAATTTTAACCTTCGGCGTTCTAAAATACTCCGTTAGGACCTCCTCTAGCTTCCGTTACTATAAGCGTTCCCGTATATACACCACTTCCAACTAGGCTCCAAATATCGTAAACTTCTCGCCTGTTAAAAGCGTCTTCGTTAAATACATCGCGGCGTTAATTATCGCGCCCGTTAAATATTCCGTAGAATATTCCGTCAGGACTTCTACTAGCTTCTTTTACTACAACCGGTCCCTCCTATCTATTAGGTCGTCGATTATCACGGCGTTAATCTAATACTCTATTATAACGTTAATCTAACGCTCCGTTAATTATTACGGCGTTAATCTATTACTCTATTATAATATCCATTATCACGGCGTTAATCTAATACTTCGTAATTATCGTTAAATCTATCGCTACGTTAATCTATCACGACGTTAATCATCCTAACGTTAATCCTTAATCTATTGGATACTCTATCAGGACTTCTACTAGCTACTTTAGCTATAATGGGTCCCTTATATCTATTATGCCTACCTAGGCTTTAAATATCGCGAACTTCTCGTCCGTTAATCCGTCCGTTACTATAATAGCATTAATCTAATACTCTATTAGTCTAATATAGCGTTAATCGCTAGCCTGTTAAATATTCCGTTAGGACTTTTACTAGCTTCCTTTTACTATAGTCGTCTCTCCTATCTATTAGGTTATTAACCGTTATAAGGATACTCGATATAGTACTCGATATAGTATTTACGGAGGTACTGTATATTAAAAGCCGGATAGAAGATCTTGACCGTGTCTTCGGTATATAAGGCGGTATATAAGATAGTATAGACGGCGGTATATAAGGCGGTATACGAGGTAGTATATAAGGCGGTTAGGAAGATCTTAGTTATCGTTACCCCCGTGCTTTAATAGCGTATAGGAAGATCTTAACTCTACGAAGCCGGAATCTAATACTATTAGCCCCCTTATCACATAAACTATATCCTATAATTATATAGAAATATATACTTATTAGCCTTATATATTATTTCTTTCTAGACTCGGGTACTTAGTATTTTTTTACGATATTTACGGGCACAGTTTTCCACGGCCCCATCTTCTAGTAGTTCCGGGGGTAGTTATATTAAGCGGTCTTCTATCTATTTCCGGGAACCGGGTACCGGGTACTAGGTAGCCGGATTACGAAGAGCTTCCGGCCGGTGTTAAACGCCGATATCTAGTCTTTTTCTTAACTAGTAAGGGCACGTTCCTGTATTCATAAAAGTCCTATAGCTATAACTACAGGGACATTATAGCACTATCTTATATTTACTAGCTATGTTTTCTAGTTTCTTTACTAGCTATCTCTTTACCGAATTTGTCGCACTCCTTTATTTATAAGAGCCCTATAGCCGTAACTATAGGGGTATCGTGGTATTATATTCCTTTATCTATAAAGAACCCTGTAGCTATAGGGGATTCACGATTTTCTAAGATTACGGCTACTATTAGCGCTATAATCGATAACGGGGCTTTTTTCTAGTAAAGGGGGAAGTCATAGAATAGGTAGCTATAAACGTTAATTAAGCGCTACGCTAGCTAAATTATATAGTTCGTGTCGTAAATCTTATCTATCTAGACTTAAGATAGCCTCCTCCACCCCTTATAGAAGGGTATTGTAGAAGTAACCTCGGCGACCCTAAGGAAAGAGATCCGGGGGAAACCAGCCCCCGTAAAGGTAAGTTATATCCAGAATAATAGACTATAACCTCGGGGGAACCCGGGGAAGGGATAAGTTTAGAGAAAACAAGAGTATAGCTATATTAGGGCTATAAGCCTTACCACGATACTTATTCTTAAATAGGAATCTTTAGCGTAGAGTATTTTAGTCGGATATTAAAGCCCTTTAATAACGCCTATCTTTTCGCAGGATTATATTAGTTTAATATCACTCTCTCGAGTATATTTATTACGGTACGAGCTACCGCTTAAACCACTATAGGAACTCCTGTAAAACGCCGTAAATATCTAATATCTTTAAATATAATTATAGAATTCGGAAAAATCAGTATAATTCACCGCGTAGGCAGGAGCCGTATATACCGTTAAGAGGATATCTAACTATGCTACGACGGTAGCTATGATAGTTAGTATTATTAAAAGAACGTAGTTATATAACGGTTTAATTATAGAAATAACTTAGCTTACAGGCTAAATCCCTCTACTCGTAGTGGGTATTTGGATTAGTAATACTATACTACCGGCGATTACGTAGTTATTATATACCGGCCTCTAAAGGCAGGGTAGGCGGTAGCTCTTACTATAGATATACCTTAGTTATAATACTTATTATAATAGTTATTAAAATAGTTCTTATAAAGGCTCCTCCTAAGCAGTCTTACAGTTAGTAGTTTCGGGTCTAGATAAGTACTCGTTCGACCTACGGACTTAAGGGGATTCCTTAAGCCTACTCTAGAGTAGGCTATTCAGGAAATATATACTAGTCTTCTTCTAAGGTTATAACTTATCTTCGGTACACGTATAATAGCTTTCGGTTATTATTGAATATTATAGGTAGCCGTTTTAGTAACTATTAGGTCTACCACGGAGGTATCCGAGGTATCCTTATTAGGTAGCCTTTCTGATAACAGTTAGATCTACCACGAAGGTATCCTTATTCCGGTAGTGGTTAGATCTAATATAAGAAGCAGGTAAACCGTTGACGTAGTTAAGAGTATACGCGGCCGTTCCGGTAATTATTAGATCTAGCGCGGTAGACGGCGCGGTTATTAAATTAACTAAGGGTATTACGGCCGTTCCAGTAGTCCGTTAGATCTATTACGGAGGCAGGTAAACGGTTAAAGTATTTAAGGGTATATTAGTTAGAATAAGGGTAGTATTGTTAACGTTATACGCGGCCGTTCCGGCAGTTATTAGATTTAGTCCGGCGGGCGGTATCGTAGTTAGAATAAGGGTAACGGCTCTAAGGCCGGTTTATAGAAAGGGGATTATCTTTAAGATTGGTAAATTTATTCCGAACGCTATAGGCTATAGCTGTCGCGTCGTTACTTCGTTTCTACAAGGTCTAATAGCTTTAGGTATAATTCTATATAGTATTAACCTCGGAGATCTTACAGAACGGTGATCTTAATAGTTGGTTAGCTTCTTTATGCTATAAGAGATTCGATAAAAGGTTCGCTACACCGGCTCGGCTTAGACGGCTCTTAATCGGTAGTTCGATAAGTAAAAGGGATAAATCGTCGATAGTATATAAGACTCTTAAGTATTAGATACAGCGTAACCGTAAATAATCACGTAGAATAGTAATAGGGCAGTTAATCCAGTTAATTCAATTAAAGCTTATAAGTCTACAGATATATATATATATATAACTATCCAAAATCCCCGACCGTTAGGAAACTCCTGCTACCGTAGTTTCTATAGTGAAGATTCTGCAGGTGTCTACCCCGATTACTAAGCGTATAATCCTTCGGTCAAATCGGTGCCCATTACGTAACTGTCAATCTTACGGTGTGTCCGATATAGAGTAACTGTTATCTGATAAAGTGTAGTTAAAAACGTTATAAAATAGGTTAAAATTAAATAAGGCAATTATGTATAATTATAGCTATATAAGGACCGTTAGGAAACCGCTACTACCGTAATCTATATCGTGCAAATTCTGCAGGTGTTTACCCGGAGTGGCCGAGATTATAATCTCGGTTAAATCCGGTCTATTACATAACCGTAAAAACTATAGTCTATTCGATATACTCCCTAATTGCGCTAAATATTAGTTAGGCGACTAAAGCTATTCGTAACCGGCAGATATAATAGCTATATAATCTCTTCGCTATAGCCGCTCTTAAATGTATTCTTTAAGTCTTCTAAATGTTCTACCCGGACTTCCTCTAGCGTATTTTAGTATAACCGTTCTAGTATACTCACCACGCCTACCTAGGCCCTAAATATCTCTAACTTCTCACCGTATAACGCCTTTATTAGGCCATCTGCGACCATTTCTACGCTCGTAATATACGTTATCGGTATTTACCCTTATTGCTTTACTTAATATAACTACTAGGTATAGATATCTATATATCGAAGACATAGTATTAATATACTAATTTCTTAATTAACTAACTAACTCTTTTAGTTATTATCGTATGCGATCCTTAATTCCCGATTATTAAGTTCTACTCCTATACTAAATAATAGCCGCTATATAAAGATACCCTCCTTATACCTTATACTAATACTAATTGCTCTACTTCGGTTATTAATATTTTAACCGTATCTTACTTATTAGCGCGCTACGCGATAGTTCCTCTAAATAATCGTATTACGAATACTTAACTACTGTTACGATTAAGGATAATATCGATAAAGGAGGTATTAGTATAGATTTCGATAGTATTACTACCCCTTAGTTCTTGTTGATATTATCA